TTTCTGTCCCCTCAGGGAATCATTACTCTCATTACAGTTCCTGAAGGGTATATCTATCTGGAATTTCATGCATCAAACTATCTTAATTATACATACAACATACGCAGTCTAACAGAATTAATGAGGTAAAACGAAGACCATAATAATAGGAGGAGGAAATATTAAAGAACTAGAGGAAAGTCATGTGTTTCAACAGTGCTATACTGCTCCCTGAATAAGTCATCCCTTCCACACGGCCCTTCTGTGAGAGACTGTCCAGTGATCTTTCAAGTCGGTTTTGGGTCTCCACTCTGCCTACGCTCCTTCACGTCAATTTGATTGCTTGTTTTTGAACTTCTGATACCTATTCCCACTGACACCTCATGATCACACAAGCTTTTCTTCCACGTGGGCTTTGTTGCTTCCCTACTAGATGGCCACTCTTTATCGGACCAGAAAGTCTCATCTTTCTCCCGCAGCGTGGCTGGTGGTTTCGAACTGCTGACCTTGTGGTTAGCAGCCGACGTGCAACTACTACACCATCAAGGCTCTTGGGGTAAGAACATTGGGGCTTCAAAAATTCATGGACCAATTCCATGATCTTTTAACTAAAAATTTCCATGAGCCTTTGAAGCTCCTCATACATGGCTTGGGGGCAGGGTGTGGCAGACTAGCCCAGGGCTGCCTGTCGGTCCTCCCTGAGGGGGCTGCGGTGAGGGCCAGGTGAGACGATCTGTGCCCATCGGCAGGTCCTGGGCACCTGGCAGCCTTAGTCACTTCCCCGAGCCTGGCACATGCTCTTGGTTGACCCCACCGGCAGCTTCCCTCCCTGGAAGCAGGTCCTCTTGTCCGTGTTGGGAGAGGCAGGGAGGCGGCTGTAGGAAGAAACTGGTAGCCCTGGCTCTCTCCAGACACCAAGGCTTTGCTCAGCAGGCCCGCCCCACGACCCAGGTGAGGACAGAGCTGCACGTGTGGTGAGGCCCGAGTCAGTGGACAATGAGTTCAGGGATGGAGACTCAAGAGTCTTGGCCCATAAACCTTGCAGGCTACCCTGCAGAAGAGGGAGGGGACATGCTTTATGCAGTGCTAAGAAGAGTGGAGGGCACCCCGAGGAGGTGGATTTAGGAACAAGAGAAAACCAGCAACACCATCATCATCATCATCATCAACAACCCTTCTCACAATGAAACGAGCCTTGGGGGAGGCAGTGAACCCCCTGCCTTTGGAAGTATATAAGCAGCTGCCAGATGCCCACCTGCCAGCAGCCCCTGGCAAGACTCCCTGCCCCTAGAGCAGTCTCTTGAAGCCCTCCCAGCGTACAGGGTGGACCCTGTGACCAGTGCCCCGAGGAACCAGAGGTCAGGGTTTAGCGGTTTGGGCGGGCAGAGTGGACGTCCTCCCCGACCCGTGGCCTGTGCATACTCACCCTCGCAGGGGGTCCACGGCGATAGCCCGGGGCTCGCTCAGGTCCTGGTTGAAGAGCGTGCGGCGGCGGCCACCATCCACTGTGGCCACAGAGATGGTCTTGTTGCCCGAGTCGGTCCAGTAGATGTGCTTGTGGACCCAGTCCACCGCCAGGCCCTCCGGGGAGTGCAACTGCTCGTCAATGAGGACCTCCTGTTCTGCCGGGTCGCTGGCCTTGTCCATGTAGGCACTAGGAGCAAGCACGCTGGTCCACGCAGGCCCAACTTGGACCATCCTCCTCCCCTCCCCCTGGGCCAGGCCGGCCAGCAGCCCATAGAAGACCCTGGCTGGCTTCCTGCCAGCACTCGGTCCCTGGGCTGGGCTGCCATGGCTGGGAGGTGCGCTCAGATGAGCCATGGGTTTGGCCCCTGGCCGCTCCGTATAGCTCAGGGTGTGAGGGCGGCTACTGGCAGCCAGAATCAGAATCGACGGATGGCGGTGAGCTAGGTTTGGTCTGGTGAGGACAGGAACCCTGGAGGCTAGGGCCACCGGAGTGAGAGGGCTTTGAGTGAGCTCTCCGTGACCCCGAAGGGCAGACAGTCCTTCAGGCTAAGGGGACTCACTCCCTCACTGCTGCCGGGGAGAGGGCCACAGTACAGAACTGATTATGGACAGGTAGAACTGATTATGGACAGGGAGAACTGACTATGGACAGGTAGAACTGACTATGGACAGGTAGAACTGACTATGGGACAGGTAGAACTGACTATGGACAGGGTAGAACTGACTATGGACAGGGTAGAACTGACTATGGGACAGACAGAATGGTTTTGAACTGCTGACCTTGCGGTGAGCAGCCCCATGGTGACCCACCACACTTCCAGGGCTCCTGCTGAGGGAACAGCATGTACAAATGCCTAGAGGGGAGGACATCTGCAGGAGGGGATGGGGGAGGGCTTGGGTGGGATGTGAGGTTGGGGGGGGGAGTGGGGATTTGAGTGCCATGCTAAGGGGTCAGAATGTTATCTGGAAGAATCTAAACCGAGTCAGATGACACCATGGGAAATGCAGAAGAGGTGGACTCTGGGCTGGGCTAGGAGAGGAGAGGGCACAGGCCGAGAGAGGGGTGCCGAGGCTGGGCAGCCTCCAGGGGAGAGGTGAGAAGGGTCTGCCCGACTGCACAGGGCTGGACCATGACCATGGAAAGAAGAGGCTGCACACGGGGCAGACCCTGAATCAACATCAGCAGGACCTTCCGGCTCCCCAATACTGCTTTCCCCCAAAGTTTTTCTCCCCCCTGGATGGTCAGTGTCCACTGTCAATCACAGACCTCAGATTCCCAAATCTTCACCCCGGACAACTCTCTCAAGCTCTGAACTATAAAGCCAACCAACCCCTGCCTCTAGACCCCTCACCCTCCCAAAGGGCTCCCTGCACCCAGCCTGGGCCCTGTCTCCCCCAGGGCCTCCCGCCCATTAGGAATTGTCCATGCCCCCCCAAAATATGTGCTATAAATCCCAACCTGTAGGAGCTCTGGTGGAACAGTGGTTATATGTTGGCTGCTAACCGCAAGGCCAGTAGTTGAAACCACCGGGCCTGCGGGAGAGAGGGACAAGACTGGCTCTTCCCGTAGAGTCCCAGTCTCGGGACGCCAGGGCCATTTCTACCCTGCCCTCCAGGGTCACCACGATCTGATCCGGCAGTGAGCTGTGATTCTCCTTGGAAGCAGTGCTGTCTTGTTAGCCTCACGGGGGCATCTCTTTTGAGATACAAACGAGATTAAACGAGGGAGCCAGCAAGCAGGGCTGGGGCAGGTAGAAGCCATAAATACCACAAGCAGGCCTCATGGCCCGAGTGCGGATGCCGACTCAGCGAACCCTGAAGGTGAGAGCAGAACTGGGGTATCTGAGACGCTCTACAGGAGCAGAAAGGCCCGTCTTTCCCTCGAGGAGCAGCTGCGGGGTTTGAACTGCCGAGCTGTGGTTAGCAGCCCAACATGTAACCCACGATGCTACCCCAGAACCGACAGAAGAAGGCTTCCCTGAGTTCAGACAGCTAGGCCTCCTGCCCGTGAGAAAACACGCAGACACGGCTTCAGAGCAGCGGTGCAGGGACCTGGGAGGGAACCCTGCCTCCTCCTCCTCCCACGCCAAGCCCGGTCTGCCGTCAAACACTGCGCCTTTCAGTCCCAGCTGATGCGGGCAGGCTGGGGGTGGTCTGTGTATCGGGAGGGAGGACGCATCGAGCCGAGCAGCACGGGGTACATTTGCTTCCATGCACCCACCCTTCCCACCAGCAGTGCCAGCTCATCGGCACTCCTGCCCAGCCGACCTCAGCACAAAGACAGGCCATGCCCGCGCAAAGGGACCCCGACACACAGGGATCTGCAGGAGGAACTTCCTTGTGTGTGGGAGGAGACCACGCGATGGCTTTCCTAAGTGGCAAAGTCCCCTGACCAGGGTGTCACGGCCCACCTGGAGGACTGGACTGGGGCTATGCCCTCCAGGCGGCTTGTCATCTCCTAGCTGTCATCACAGTGCACGTCACTGTGCGCCGAGCAAGCTCCTCCAGGCAGGGACCAGGTCTGATGAATCACAGGACCTGACGCGCAGCACACCATGTCCCCCAACCAGGCCTTTCAGCCCTGAGCGGTTCCCATGTCCTGCACTACCCTGCCACGCCGCCAGAGGTCAGAGAGGGCCCAGAGCTGCCCTCCCACGGGGGCTCAGTGTACTGAAAGGCCCTTGGGGCTGAGTCCTGTGGATGCCATGTCCACTGTGATCCTGCAGCCCTTCCCAAGCTCTAGCGGTGTGCTGGGGAGCCTAGGGGCGGAGGAGGTACAGAGATCAACACCCTTCCACTCCTCCACCTGCAGCCTCCAACACAACAGGTGCAGGTGCTGGGGACGTGTTGCCCACTCACCTGTAGATCTTGCGGTAGGAGAGGTCACACCAGTAGATGCGGTTGGTGGCCACCTCGACGTCCAGTGCCACGACGTTCTTGAGCATGGGGATGAGGCGCGAGTGGTCCCGCTTCACCAGGTCAATCCTGCGCACCTCGTGCCGGTTGGTAAAGATGATCGAGGGGCTCTTGCCAGCTACCAGGCAGCGAGGGAGGAGAGGATGGGGTCAGGGCAAAAGGTTCAGAGTCGGGGGTGGGGGCGGGGATGGGCGAGTTGGCACTGGTTTTCTGGGTGAGGTGGGCCAGGCCCTTCCCAAAACGCCTCATTTTCTAATCCAGCAAGGAGGATCACCCGATGCCCCAGGTTAAGGCAGCAAATGAAGTAGCTGGGGGTAGAGAGCGGAGGATGCAAAGCATCACAGGAAACAGAATGTCAATCCTTGCTGTTAGGTACAAATACCTCTCGATCTCTTAGGACTCCCCATTTCCTCCTCTTGGGCTTGTGTAAGAGTTCTGCACAGGTGGCCAGGCCTCACTCAAAACACCATCCTTTACTGCCCTGGGTTCCAGACACCAGACTACCTGTCCTGCCCTCACCATGGCCTTTGCCGAGGTCGCCCTTCCACCTTGGACACATTTTTCCTCAGGAACCAGCACCACCTGCTTGGGGACCCCTTGCTGTATCCAAGGTGCCCCCTGAGTGAGCAAGTGTCTTAGAGAGATGGCAGAGGCTGCTGAGTGGAGGGCAGACTGCAGGCCAGGGGTGAGGCTCGAGTCGGTGCAGAGGGCACCTGGAGACAGGGCCAGAGCATAGGCAGCAGGGCTGGGCAACCAAGGACCTTGTGAGCTGGGTGAAGAGGTCTGGATCCCGTTCAAGCCAGTGGCAGGGGTAGGGCATGATTTGACAAAGGACGAGATTGTAGGGAGGCCGGCAGTGACCTAGGTATTTCTGGGCACTCCTTACAGAAGGCCACACTGTGCAGAGGCTCTGGGGGGCTCGCCTGGCTCCCCAGCCAGTCTCAGGCACTGCCGTTGTCCAAGCGGCGGCAGCTTCAGGGAGCCCAGCTGACACTTTCGGCTGCCCTGCTGGTCCCCATCCCTGCGCACCTGGGCCAGGCTACTGTGGTCCCCAAGGTCAGGGTGGGGCCAGCACAGACCCGTGGAGGGAGCAGCAGGATGGGGTAGAGGAGAGAGGGAGCGTGGGGCACACAGAGACAGGGCCCCGGGTGCAGAAGGGGAAAGCGGGCAGGCTGGGCTCTGTCCTGACCAGCAGTGCCATCTTCCTAAATGAGAGCCATCGGCGGCACTTGCCGGGAGGGGACTGTGATTTGGGTTTGGTGTCAGTGCATCTAGATAGGTTGCGTGTGCAGGCCTCGTGTCTACACGAGCCCGGTGCGCTCCACTCATCCTGAGTCATCACAGGCGAGGCACTCATGTCTGGGCTGTAGAGGGTGCCCTTTGGGGGATGGGGTGGTTTGTGTGTCAGGAGTCTTGGCCCCTGAGTTATACCACCTACGACATTGTGTGCTGTTATTTGTGCACGTGGACTTCCGACGCCAAGGTCCCGCTGCCTGGTCAACATCTCTGCTTGGTGCCGGCCAGTTCTCTTAAACGTGACATGTCCGCGGCAGTCTGAAATTCCCCTCCCTGGCTTCTCTCGCTGCCGTAAATAGCAGCCTATGTTTGAGCTGCTCAGCCGAAAACCTTGGCGCCCTCCTTGGCTTTTTTCCCCTTCTGTGCTCCATTCAACTCGTGGGCAAGTCCTAGTGGTCCTACTGGCTGCCCTTCAGAACAGGTCTGCAGTCTGCCCACTCCTCCTTGCACCCACTGCCCTCACCTCTCTTCTGGATCACTGCAGTGACCCACCCTGCGTCTTCTCTTGCCCCCATTCAGTTGTCCTCGGCATAGTAGCCAGAGGGAGCAGGTGTACAGGTAAGCTGCTCTCCTCGCCCCCAAATTAGGGTGAAATTATGGCACTCCATGCATCCAGCCGACGGCTGTGTGGGTCTGCAATCTGTCTACACATGGATGTTGTGGGAGTGTTGATCTCTGTGGCTTGCACGCGTGCTCAGTGCGTGGAGCACAGTGCGCACGTGTGTGCGTGCGCGTGCATGCTTGGGGAGGGTCTATGGAGCACCTTGGGGGCAGCCTGCCCATCCCTCTCAGAATGGAAGCACGCTGCCTCCCGTGTCCCCTGCGTGCCCGGGTGGCTGCGTACCGACGGCCTTGCAGTTCTTGGTGAATGCGTCCATCTCATAGCCAGGGTAGCACTCGCACTTGAAGAAGCCCTTGTAGTTGACGCAGATCTGGCTGCAGGCGTCTGGGTCGGTGCACTCATCGATGTCTGTGGGGGAGAAGCAGGGGGTCAGGAGGGGCCTGGGCGGCTGCCTCTGCTGGGCGCGGGGGAGGGTCTCACCACCACACGTCTTCTGATCCAAGAGCCGGAAGCCTGCGGGGCACGTGCACTCAAAGCCGATCTTGAGGTCCGTGCAGATGTGGGAGCAGCCCCCGTTGTTGTGCAAGCACTCGTTCAGCCCTGGGGAGGGATGCAGGCACCTGAGGGCCAGGAGCCCAGGTGGGGGCAGGGCCCCCACCATGCCAGAGCCACGAGGGCTCTGCGATCTCCCCCACCCAGTGAATGGGCAAGAAGAGGGACAGGCACTTGCTCAAGGTCAGACACAGGCTGCGGGCAGAGAACCAGAACTCAGGTCCTGGCCCCCCAGGCTAGGGCTCTGGCAGCCACCAGGCTGGGCCTTGGCTGGTGGCCTTGGCTGGTGGACCTACGGTCTTGCTTTCCCAAGCATGCTTCTAGCAGTCCCTCCTTCCCGGTGACCTCAGAGTTGAGGGGACCTGCAGGAATCCCACCTAGCACCTCCCAGGATCGCCAGCCTGGGGGCGTTCACCCCCTCCTGAGCTCATCCCTCCCTGGATGGGCTTCCTTGAGCCTCCCTGTTCCTGCTGTGGCTGGAGTCCCAAGGTTTCCTGTGAACACAGGTTTCTGGTCCCCTGCAGCCACGGTCTGGTCTGTCCACACCCTCTCTGAGCAGGTGAAGTTGGTCCCCTCCCCAGAAGGAGCCTGAAGCTGGGTTGACCCGCCCATGAAGGCTGCTTTCATCAGACTTCCAAGGCCCTTTCCTAGGAGGAGTTCTGCTACGCCGGTCCTCTCCCGCCTCAGAGGAGCGTGACGGATTTTTCTCATCTCCTATCCTCCGCACCTGCCCCTGCTTCCTTCGACACTTCGTCACCAGCTTGGGCCCAAGGCTACCAATTATGGCAAGGGATGGAGGGGGGCCAGGAGGCCATCTGATGGGGCCCTAGAAGTCAGGAGGGCGGGAGCCAGAGCCCCCTGTTCCCCCACCTTACCTGAATCATAGCAGCTCAGTTCTGCAAGCCAAGGGGGGCCGCACCCTCCCCTGCCCACCCAGCACATGCACCCTATAGCAGCCAAGCAGAGCGAGCTGTCTGGGGCAAGCACCCCTCTGGGCTGAGCTGCCCACCCCAGGCCATGCGCAGCTGGGGGTGCCCCACCTCCCGGCTAAGCCATGCTTAGCAAATGTCCCCTTTACCCCTGGGCCTCCTCCTGTTTCCCTGGGATGCTGGAGGAACTGAAAGAACAAGACCATACCAACCCCATGACTGGAGGGACCGGACTGGGGGGTGAATCAGCCAGGCTTATGGGGGGGGCACTGAGCCTGGTGGCTTTGGGGGTCCCTGGGGGGTACTCCCTCCAGGAATTTTTCTGCCACACGTAGCCCTCCCTGCACTCTGCAGGCCACCCCAAACACCATCCATTGCTCGTTCATCCACTCACCCACCCACCCACTGCTTCTCTCAGGGATCTTGCTTCTCTCGGTTCGCCCCCTCCGCTCACAGGTAGTAGGAGCCCGACGGAGGACTAAAGCTCCGTGCTCTCTTCACCCCACTTCCCAGAGAGCTCTCTGAAGCCCCCTCGCAATTACTGAGCTCTGATGGGGTGGCATCAGTGGGGTGGGCTGGCTCTGGAAGGGGCAGAAGGCATGGCCCCTCAGGGCTGGAGTGGGTGGGGCACAGGCTGAACTGCAGTCTGGGCCAGTCCATCCCAGATACCCCTTCCCTGGAAGGAAAGCCTTTGGCCCGCCCCCTTCCAGCCTGGAAGTGAATCTGTTAGGGAGTGTGTGTGTGTGTGTGTGTGTGTGTGGTGGGGGGATGGCGATGGGGGACAGAGGGCCCCAGAGTCCTGATCACACTGAGGCCACCTTGAAGGAGAGAGGGCTTTCACTGTCCCCAGCCCATGCACACGCCCGCATGCACACACATCAGCTCACGTGCACGGGCAGACAGGCCACAGGCACATCCCCAGACATGGGGCGCCCACATGCATGCATTCCCGTCCTCCTCAGAGGGGCGTGGACACCAACCGAGATTGTCCTCTCGTGAACGCAGAGACACAGAGGACACGCACACACAGACACATGCACACGCTCTTCTCTCGGTGTCATGCGGGAGGCGAGAGGGCAGGGTTAGTGGGCCTCAGGCCCTGGCTAGCTCAGGTCGGAGCGGGGAAGGAGGGCTGATGGGCTCAGCTGCTTCTGCTTTCCTGCCCTCCCTGCCCCCTGCCCGCCTCTCCACTAGTTCTTTCTCCTGGGACTTCTCCCAGCAGGGTCTCAGGGGGTGGGGGGCTGTCTCCTGCAAGCTCAGGTGGAGGCTGAGTGACCTTTATCCAAAGACTCCTCCTTTCAAAGTGAGTTTTTTATCTTCAAAAGGGAAGGAAACATGCTGGTGCTTCTGGTGAGCCGAGAGTAAGCCCCCTAAGAGCCCAGGAAGATGGTGCCGGGGGAAACTACATCTGCCATTTTACTGCAGAGGAGGGGAGAGCCAGGCATGCCCTTCCCAGGGGCCCTCTGTCCAAATCCCCCTCCACTCCAATCTCCTGAGATCGGCACCCGGGGGCTCTTGACCCTTTCTGGAGCCCACATTGGGCCTCTGGCATGTTCTCTGCCAGGCTGGACGCTCCTGTCCTCTCGAGCCTGGAGCCTGTCTGGAGAGTTCTGTTCTCAGGCACATGGGAGCCGCCAAGTCTGGTTTTCCTAGGAGCCTGAGATGCTGAGGGCAGGATCACTTCCTGTGGCTGGGTCATCTACCCCGCCTGGGCCTGTCCTGAGCCAGATGGTCTCCGGGTGAACTCACACTGGCCACCTGCTTCCTGTTGCCCACCTCTCCCTCTGCAGGCCTCCTGGAGGGCCCTGGCTAGGTGAGCAGGGGAGGGCACCAAGGAAGGGCCTGAGCATGAGCACACACTCGGAGCACAGGAGAGGAAGCACAGGTCCTTCGAGGCTGGTAGCCTGAGCGGCCCAGAGAGGGTCAGGGTGGAGGGTGGGGGAGTGTAGGGGAGGGTTTGTCTGGAGGGGAGCAGGCAGACAGGTACTGTACCACACTCTTTCTGAGGTTCATCCGACCAGTCTCGGCAGTCCCTCTGGGTATCACACACTTTCCCGCCGTCCACGCACTCGCCACTCTTACACTGAAATCTGCGGGGACCCTCACAGGAGATCTCTGTCAGGCCGGACAAGAGCGGACAGCACCGGTGAGGCCTCTGGCAGGGAGCGCAGCGGCCGCACCTGGGTCTGGTCTCTCGGGAGTTGATGGTGCTCCAGGCCCTGCCTCCAGGCGTCCCTCAGGGGTGGCCCAGGACAGGTGTCCTACAGGCAGGCTTCTTTGGGGACTTGGGTCACAGGAGGACCAGGACCTCACGACACTGCCTGAATCATCGAGTGGGGCAGGACGACAGGTCTGGGTCTGACCCCGCAGTCCTGGGGCTCAGGGAGGGGCGGTGCCACAGTGCTAGAGACCCTGCGGGTGGGGTGTGTG